CTGGGAAGCAGCAGCAGAAACGCTAACAAAGTTCAGCTCAGTGAAGGAGTAAACAACACGTTGCAGCCAGGCTGGGCTTAACTACATGGCAGCATCTGCTCTTACCTCTGGCTTGAAGCTATTTTCTCCTTCTTGCTCTGGGAAGAGCTGTAGTCACAGGAGTCCGACTTCTGCAGCAGGAAGCCCAGACGATGCTTCATGTCTTTGGCACTGAAAGAAACAATTCAAGAACGAGAGAAGATGATGCGTTAAAACTCCCTCTGCAGCCTCCTCACCCACAAAAAACTTGTTCAGCATTACTCAGTGACACAAATGCAGGTCACAGCTAGTGACTCGAGTGCTGACTTTCCACTTCTCACACAATGCACATTTCTGTTGCTAGACAAATACAACAAAGTCAAAGAAGTAATTTTTCACATTCAACAGCACCATTTTCTTGCTGAGAAGGTTATCAGCCCAGAGGCTGGGGGTGGCAAATGGGGAGAAGCTGCTGTTTTCTTACAGTTTGTTGACAGTTAAAATATTGTGATAGAAAGGCATCACTGTTCTGTAAACGTGTCACTTCTCCTTGAGCTGATATGCCCAGCTACCAATGTCTGGTTCTTACGCCCTTACTAATATTTTCCTGCAGCCCTTGCCATCTCCCCACCTCATCACCTCACCCAGCTGCAGGAATAGGAGGGCCATGACACAGAGGGAAGGGGAGGAAGCAAAGGGCTTGAAGCAGGACCATGGGGTGAGATCAGGGGATGAGCCAGGAGCTTCACCACAACCAGCCCACGCTGACTGCAAGCTACTCCCTTGCTGCCCAACAAGCGCCTACAAGGATGCACGCTTAATTTTGTTCTGCTTTCCAGCGTGCTCTGGAGTCATTGCCTCACAGCAGCATCTAGATATGCAGCTGATACTGGCCTCAGCATCTCTCTGGATTTCCTTCCAGGTCAAAAACAACAGGGCAGGTAAATCAGTCCTGCTTGCTCAAGGGTGCAAGCCCTGGCCTGCCACAGTGTGCAATGATAGCATAAGTAGGAAATTCTTCTCCTGCTCCTCAGATCAGAGCCTGGAAAAGAGCAAGAGGTTGTGCCACAGGGCTGAGCTCAGGTAGCTGCTCAGACTCCCAGCACTGCTCTTTGCTCCAGCCATAGCACCCTGTCAGCGGTCCCGGCCATATCTTATCTCACTGTTTGCTTGTGCTCATAAATGTTTCCTAAATAACTCCAGCACTATGGTGAGAGTGATGGAAACTCACAGCTTCTTTAGAGCAGGGTGCGTGTCACCAGAGCCAACACCCAGGCAGGCACTGGGTACTCTGTGCTGTCATGCTACCTGCCCCCAAAAGAAGGAGACCACTCAGCTCTGCAGGAGGAAACAAGGTATTGCTGTTTGCAGCGAGTCCTACAGCTTTCTGGGAGAATCCAGGACAAAAGTGGTTAAAAGATGTGAATTTTTTTTTCTTTGCATTTTTTTTTCAAATGTTCCCTCACCCCGTCAAACATTCCTGCAAACTGGGGGGACGGAGTCAATATTTTTCCTCACGTTTTCAGCATTTGTCTTCAAATCCACTGTGAGCAGGGAGCTTTTCCTCCCAGACAGGAGCGGGCTGAGTCCCAGTTTGTATTTTCCCAACCACCTCCCATTGCACAGCCACTGGGAAGCAGCCTCAGGAGCACTCCTGAAGGCATGGGCGCCCAGAAAGGTTGTGCTGTGCTGTCAGAGACCCCTGTAAGTTTGCAGGGGCTGGATAAGCAGGGAGTTCTGTGGGGCTGGCACCATCCTGGAGACCTGCTCCACTCTGCTGGGGGTCTCCAGGCCCCATAGCACCCTGCAGGAGTGCTCGTGGCCACCATGCAGGCATAGAGACCCCTTCATGCTGGGCTACGGGGCAGACCATGCCGTTGAGGGCATTATGGGGCTGCACAAGCTCTGCTCTGCGAGCGCAGGGATGTCTGGCTGGTACCACACACCAGGGTGCAGCCAGATCCTGCGCCCATGGGGTACAGCCCATCCTGATCAGCACTGCACAATGGGGTATGGCCAGCCCCCACACCAGCCCCACAGCGCTGTGGTCTGGGGGTACAGCCTGACCCAGCCCCTCACCATCAGTACACACTGGGGCACACAGGCTGACCCCACACCGGCTGGTGCTGCAGCTGCAGTGCCCTGGGCTGGCCCACATCCCTGCCCTGTCTGCAGGCAACTGGGTCTCTGGTCCTGCCAGGCTGGGTATCTGCATTTGGGATGCATTTAGTGAATGACTCTCAATTTTTTTTGCTATCCCATCTGCCTTGCTTTCCCCTTCAGAAAAGAAAAGAAAATTCAGCAGAGAAAGAGGATTCAAAGGAGAAAAGAGGTGCAAGGCTTACGGCAGAATCAGATGACAGGAATATAAAAATATAACAATGCTAAGAGCTGCTTGTTTTGCTGATGGGAAGGATGGATTTAGAGTTCCCACAGCTCAGTACAAAACCTTTATGCAATTCTGCTTCTGACAGGGAAAAAAAGCCTGTAAGCAATCATTTGTATCTAGTCTTACAAAAGAATCAGAGCAGAATCATAGAACCATAGAATGGTTTGGGTTGGAAAGGACCTTAAAGATCATCTAGTTCCAACCCCCTACCCATGAATCTGCCACTTCTGCTTCAGAAACAAAGCGCAATACATCAGCAAATCTCCAGACTAACAAGACCATTAACAGAGGCTCATAAATAAACAGTACCTTTTTAAGCAAGTGGCTGGCAGTGCAGCGAGTCCCTTGCACATCTTGCTCCAGAGATCAGTTCTGTATTCCAGGAAAAACAACAGCGCAGGAGGCGGCAGAGGCTGCGTACGAGTCCTTCGCCCTCTGCAGAATCCAGTCTCGCCTCTGAGCCGGCTGCGCTGCCTTGGCTGTGTTTTATAGCCTAGCCCAGACAGCCCAGCAGCACTCGGTGACCCAGTCAGGACTCAGCACAGCAGCAGCACCCGTCCCCTTTTTGCCCACCCAAGAGGAAGAGGGTGACGTATAAACCGAGACAAAGGAGTGAGTAGGATTGAAAACCTTACCAGAAACGAAGCTTGGTGTCTGGCTGCAGAGGTGGATTCTTTTAAAAGGGGGGAAAAAGCTTCAGGGGCTTTCCTCTATTGCAAAAGATGGAACGCTGCAGATAAAAGCTGGAGGAGATTTTCAGAGGTGCACAGACAGTAAAAAGGGTCAAAGAATCAATTCTGAGAAGTGAGATGAGCTTTGCTGGTTCATCTGTTCATTTTCTCCTTCTAGTTAAAGCAACCTGGGGAAAACAAGGGACAAGAATTTTAAATACAAAAAGTTCCCATAATCTCAACAAATACAGAAACCAGAACTTTAAGGAAAGAAGAGCATAAATTCACCAGGGAACTACCCAGGCAGATGAGACTGACTGGTTTCATTCTAGAGGCATGTGGGTATATGATATCACTCCATCTACACCACTTGTTCTCAGCCCTTGGAGGGTGCAGAAGGCAGTTGCCTCTCTGGAGAGAGAGAATTAGCTGATATTTCTTGAGTCGTGGCTCAGCACAGCCTGTGCCATCGTTATAAAAGAGGGGAAAGCTTTGGGCAGACGGACGTGCATATGGTCTGCTGCACTTAAATTCATGCTCCTGCTGTGAAATAAAGAAGCATCAGTTCAGCAGCAGGCTGTCTGCCTGCACTACCCACTGCTGTGCTCTTTCTCCCTAGAAACCTTTAAATACTTTGCCCACGACCTGCAGAAGTTGCAGGGTAAGCTTTTTCCTCCTGTGTCTCTAGAGCCTACAGCCAGCAGCACAGACAACCCAAATCCCAGATGAGTTTACCTGCCTTGGCATACTGCATCCTCTCAGATCATTAACTGTGCTGAAAGGCAATGCTCTAATTAACTTTAAAATGCTTTTGTACAAATGTGACTATCCTGTTGCCAAACCTGAGGCAACATGCCTTAAGTCCTGCAGTTTGGGCTAAAGATCAGCTCCAGCACAGGGCAGTGTAAAATTTTAACTGAGTGAACCCCCTTGTGTTTTTAGTGATGGTGAGTTGACAGCACTTGGGTGGATCTGTAGGAAGCAACTGAACACTAGCAGAGTTGGTGCCAAAGTTCCCTGATGTCTTCTGTTTGAGAAGCCAAAGTGCAGAATATGTCCCACAAGAAAAAACTTAACTAATTAATACATTGCTAAATATTTAAATTAATTTAATTTTAATCTCAAATTTGTTCAGTGTTACTGCTGCTCATATGCAACTGAAGCACATTCATTCAAGCAATTCAAGAGCTCAGCTGGCCAACACGGTCAAGGTGTCTGCAAGCTCCAACCCTGACCCTGGCAGCTGGAACCTGACCTCCTTGGCTGAGGAGGGTCCCCAAGGCTGCTTGCTGGGGCAGGGAAACTCTGCACAGAAACTGCAGAAATTCTGCAGTTTCTCTGCAAACTGGTAACCAAGATTTAGGAACGTCACACTTGTCTGTGGATTGTAAGCACATTTGCTTTGTGGCTCCAATGGCACTTAACACTGGTGTTGTCAACATCAAGTCACCTTCTGCATTCCCCAACTTCTGTGTGAGGAGGCTGGAATAAGAAACTTCTAACGCTGCCATCACAACAGCCAGCCCAAAGGGCTTTGCAATTAAGACCATGCTCCCTGGGCTGGGCATGTGACTCCTACAACTGCTGGAGTTGAAATTTCCCTTTTTCCAGTTCATTAACACACACTGGTTCAGTCTGATTCCCATGTGAGGAGTTTGGGTTTGCATACTGTTTCTCCTCTAAGCTGTGTTTCCCAGCTGCTGCAGTTTAATATCCTCTTAGCTGCTCCAGCTGGTCCCCAATCAAAAGTACCCCCTTCCATCTCCTACCCATCATAGTCAGGGCTCTTCTCCCAGGGAACAAACTGTACTGTGCTCAACACCAAAATCTCTTCCTCCCTGCCAGATAGAGAAGTGGCAGCTCATGCCACTTTTTATGCCTGTCACGTCAACTCTGGCTCACTTCATCATCGGTGAGAATGGCTGGGGGTGTGAGGCTGGGAGCAGGGGCTCCCTGGCCAATACAACTCTTGGCCGTGCGGAGCTTTGGAGGGGTTCACAGGAGACAGCATGATAGTAAATGTGTGCAGTTGCCAGTGTGGCATCCCTCATCCCACACTCACTTGTCCCTGCTGCATCCTCCACCCTACCTCCCCAAGCAGCTCGAGACGAGGCTATGAAACGGCGCTTTCCCTCCCACCATCACTGCTAGGGAAAAACGTCACACGTGTGCTCACCCCCGTACACGAGTGCGTGTGGGATGTGTCCCCCGGCTCAGCTGCAGCCGAGCAGCAGGCCGTGGGAGGAGGCAGGGAGCACAGGGAACGCTGCTTCGGTGGTCATTGCCCAGAGCCAAGCTACTCCAGGCTGTTGCCCTCCCAATAGCGTGGGGCTCTCCTGCCTCAGTCTCTTCCCATCTCGGAGCTGTATGCTGTGGGATGCATGAGCATGCAAAGAAAACGGCTGTTTTGCGTCACTGGGAACAGATAAGGGCATGACATGGGAGCTGTGAGGACGTGCTGCTGGGCCAGAGCCTCTTCTGTCACTGCTGCCTTCCCCGGTCCACCTTGCAGAGGCTAACAATGCCCTGCTTTTCCTCCTCTTCATATCTCACAAAGCCAGCCAGGCACCTTGGCACTGGGCTAGCAAATCACCCGGGGGCACAGGGGGCCATTGCCTATCTTTCTTGTGGGCATCCCCACCCCAATATGTATCTGGCCCCCAATCCGCTCTGCAGGCAGTACTGGTGAGGAACCAGAGCAGCTCCCACACCCTGGAGAAGCACTAACCAGGATGGCACTGGTCCCCATGGCTCCAGGCTGCAGAAGCCCTGCACAATCAGCTGCCCTGGTGACACTTCTGCCCATGTGAGTGGCCCCGGCACCAAGCCCTGCTGCAGGGAGTGGGCCTGGAGCTGTGCTGAGCTCCCCAGTTTGCTTCTCCCATACACCAGCCCCAAGCACTCTGCACAAAATCCCTTCCACTGCAACATTCCACCATTGATTTCTTCTCCAGTACACCCATTAGTGGGTAAGATTTCCTCCCATTAATGAGGGCTGCATCTTCTCCACATACATGTATGCTTTGATTGAATTATGGCTAATGAGCTGGGAGCAGAGCGCCCTGGAAGGACCATTTGGATCTGGGTTTGGATGAATCAGTTTAGCATGTGCCTGCGCCTGACAGTGCATGCAGCCACATTTCCTGTCCCAGGGCACTGACTATGGCCTGACCTCTAAAATACACATGGAAAGGCCACACTTGTCCCCACAGGGTCTCCTTGCCAGCACTGGGATTCCCAGAAACACTGTCCCACAGCATAATCTGAGGAAATTATTCTTTCCCATGTCTCTGCAATGCAATGCAATGCACTGCCTGACTTCACGCGTGACCGCAGCCATGGCCCTCACAACCAGCCCCCAGAGGCAGCCTCTGAGGAGAGAGCATCTCTTCCCAAACTAGCCCTGATGAGAGGGGTGACTCACCATTCTGCCACACGGTTAATTCACTGCTCACACGGAAACCCTCTCAAGTGGGTCTACCTCCAGGCTGACCCAGTCACCTTTCTGCTTCTCTTGGACAAGGTGTAGGTGAACTTTTAAAGCACAGAAGCTTTAGCCTGTTGTCATACTTTCTTGCTGAGCCTGCTCCTCTCTGCACTGGTGCTCTGCAATTGTTAGCACATTCATTCAGCACGTTCCTTAGCCCCAAATTCATACAATTCATATAAACAAGCTCATATTAATTTTCACATGGTCTGAGGCGTTTTCTACTCATACATGCATGTACAGCATCAGTAGATTTTTATTATTTCTAAGTGCTTGGAAGTGCATAATAATTTGGGGGTTTTGGTTGAGTTTTTCTTTGCCTCAACCTCAGTTTTTGGGTGGCTTGCTTCTCCTGTTACTACTCAGAAGAAAATATTTCATCTTGTATCAAAGGAAGAATTTTGTTCAGCCCAAATGGGTTTTCTCCTGGCTTAGGTTTGCTAATGAAATAAGTGGTGTTTTTTTGTCTGGCTATTGTTTTTGTTTGTGAGCATCAGACAACAGAAAAAGCTATAATTTGAGTAATTTGCTGTCCAGTTTCCCAAATATCTGTCTCATCATCCATCTTGATTAACAGCCCCTTAAACATTTCCTCTTAATTACTAAGAAAGTTCTGAATAACACTGGGCCACAAACCAAGCCAACATATGCCTGTTTACTGATGCTTTTCCAACAGTAAAACCACTTTGAAATGTCTCATTGAGCCACTTTTAGTCCATTTAATATGGATTTGATGACATTTTAAGCTAAATATTGATAGCAAGTCATATTCATTTATAAATCTATTTCACCACTACAACTGCCCTGTAAAAGCACTATTAAGCTCATTAGAAGAGGTCTATTTTTCCATTAAACCACATCAGCCAGGATCAATTATATCACCACCTTTTCAAATGAGCCTGCTATCGTCCATACTAATAGTGCTCCTGCACTGATCAAAAGGTTAATAGCTCCATGACTATATAGCTCACTCCTCTGAAAGCATGGCTTTCTTCCAGTCTCCTTTTATTCTAAAAGGTATGAAAAATGACCACCCTTTGTCCTGAGAGCCCTTTAGCCTATTCCTCCAAGAGTCTTAGTGCAGCCAGTTGCACTTGGTTGATATAAAACCACGTAGATCACCCCCAGGGCTGTGTAGCCCTGGGGCAGGGACACACTCGCTGGTCTTTTGCAAGGGACACTGAGCAGACACTTGCATTGTGTCCCAGGTCTGCCTGCAGCTCCTCTGGAAGTCTCCCAGTGCCAGACCCCAATGCTGTCATTGCTGCTTCTGTCCTTGAGACGTGCCTGGGTTGCGAGGCAGCCGTTTTTGCCCTATCTGTGTGCTGCCAGCCCCTCCTCAGCACTCACACCCTGGCTGAGGCACAGCACCCAACAGCTGGGTGCTGTTCCCACTGAGCAAAGGCAGCTCTAGTGAGACATGCACTGCAGACTGCTCACAGTGAACAATTTAACTCTTGAGAGCAACCAGGTCTAAGTATTTTCAATCCATATTTTGACCATCTGATATATAGTGTAACAGGAATTTAGCTGCTGTTGATTTCAACACACAGATGTGTGCTCCTTCATGTTCCTCTTCACAAGCTGTTTGCACTTACTATTTGAAGCTTACTGGGAAATCCCCTATTGAGGCAGAAGCTGTGATGGACCATGGTGGGACAGCTCAGATTGACCCCTGTGGGCCCATCATCAGGTGAGCTCACAGTCAGTGGTTTGCGCACACCTCGCCTGGGGACCTCTCACTCGTGGGCAGATTGCTTCACCTGAACGTGCCCTAAGGCACAGGGGAGGAGGCGGCATAAAGGGAGGCAGGAAAAGGGTTGATACGTCAGAAATTAAGATGCCTTTGGTAC